AATGATTATTTGAAATATATGGTTGTTTTTACAGATAACACACAAGTTAGGTGAATTCGTGACTCATGCATTATTTGATTTAGCTAAATAGCCTTTATCAATGAAATTCAGTCAGATTAAACTTAAAAAATGATTTCACAGTTAAATCTTGATTGCCTGACATATTTGATTAGAAATGGAGTTTGGTTTTGGTGAATTTATCTGAGGTAAACTAATGATTTTACAGAATAACTTCATGGCAATATTAGCTTTCTACCATCGATAGTAACTGAAAAATAGCAATACAATAAAGTTCTTTTAAATTAAGCTGATAATTTATATGTGCGTTGTGATGGATTGTTAGCTTCAAGCCCACTTCTGTTCATAATACATTTAGGACAATTTAAGTGTTGTTCCATGCAAATTCTCAGGTTTGAACACATCAGCCAGTAAACAGTTGCCTGTTTACTGCTTATGATGTTTATAAAGTGCAAATATTTAGTTTGTTAAAAAGCAGCAGATTTCTCTGTTGATATAATGATAGCATATATTTTAAGTTCTGTCTTTTAATCATATATGCACATTTGGAACAAAGAAGATGAAATTATTATTTGTTTCATTGTGACTAATGGTATGAGGTAGTACAATAATGTACACTACAGTAGTATTCAGGATGATGCAGGTTGACAGGATACCTCATAATACACAAGTTGCATTTTCCCCATCTATAAGAAGTAAAAAAGATGACTTGCAAGGTTTTCAGGTTTGTGAATCAGCAAGAATTATTCAGGTGAGGTGTGGTACCTTCCAGTGGAAGCATTTTTTAGGACTTTGCATAGAAAAAGCAGTAATAAAATATTATAAAAAATCAAAATGTTCTGGGTGAGTGTTGGTATTTGGGAGCGAATGTCAGAGAGTGTTGGGGTGTCGGGAGTAGACAGGGAGGACTTTAAAGGGCAGCTTGAATTGCTGCAAATGAGTTTGTTTTGGTCTATTGAGAGAAGGCAGAAGAGGAGATGAAGTTATAAATGACTGTCAGATGTACTGAAACCTACGTGAAACCTAGGGATTAATGAAAACATAGAAGTATTAAGAATGGGAAGAAATTAGAAAATGAATGGGATATGAATTCACAAATTCTAGTTTGTAGTTACCAGTCATAAAACACACATTTTAAAGTTTTTTTACCAGAAATCCTTATTCCATTTGTACTCCTCCTACTTTACAATAAATTTGTGTTACCAAAGACTTTTTAATTTTATTTTATTTTAAAACTGCTTCTGATAACTCAAGTATTTAACTAGTGTAGTGTGACAAAAGGGCAAAACTTTTGATAATGAGCTTAGGGCTGTGTTCAGCCTCTTCCATCAGCTGGAAAGTATTGCAAAACCAACGAAACAAATTGATAGCAATGAGGTTGATATAGCAGCATTACCTTGAACAAAAATTCTCTGTGTGTAGAGCACCTATCTCTGCAAGACTTTTGGCTACTATTGCTGTTTTCCTCAGTGTGGGAAGAAGGGGGATGTTAAATAAAACCTCTATTTAATTAGCCTTGTTTGATTTTATGTCTAATAAAGAGGAAAGACACTATTATTGACAGCCTGCTGCTTTAATTGATCCCAGGTAGTGTAGAACTTATTGCTACGTATTTAGAAAATGCTTAGGAAATGTTAATCTTAACTTCTAAAATGATTAAAGTACTAAAGCTAAGAAGAGACTTGAAAATGTAAGGAAAGATGCAAAGTTATGCTCTATCACAGGTTCTAGGTTATCAGATTGAAATCTCCAGTGCTCAACAGTAGTTAAAACCCTTTCAAACTGTATAAAAATTAGTTGTCAGTATGAAAAACAGTATCACTTATTTTTTTTTTTAGTACAAAAACTACAGCTATAATTTAAAACCAAAGAAATGTGTATTATTATTACTTTTTTTTTTGCTTTTAATTCTATTTGCTAGGGAGTATGCAGTTTTATAAAGTGAAGGTTTATTTGCAGCCCAAATAAACGTTACTTTGATGATAGCTTTTATAACACTGCATTAAGCATCAGAATGTTCATCATAGTTAACACCTGGGTCTGCCACAGTGAAAGTATTAGCATTGCATCCAGTGATGAGAGGTTGACAATGGTTTTGTTATTAACAAAATCCATTCAAATAATGTTCAACTTGTCATGTCTTCAAACAAATTTAAAAATGGAAGAGTTTTAATTTTTCCTATTTTTTGCCTAGTATCTGTTCATGCTTTAGATCGTAATGAAGTAAATAAATACATTTTCATCCTTGTGATTAATTTCACATACTTATGTGGCTAACAGAAATGATAATGAAATACAACTGACATTATTCCACAAATGAATAGTTATGGGAATTACAGAGGTTTTGTGTCAAAACACACAAAAAAAATTTGCTGTATTACCACAATTGCTAGTTTCAAGTTTTATCTCTCAGCCAATCCATCTTCGTTTCAGGACAACTGGTGAATTGAGATCTTCATATGTTTTAACTACTACTTTCAAAGAGGGAGAATTTTCATATTACGTTTCCAACAGTATTCAGACAATTCCAGTGAGAATTGTCCTAACAAAGTCATGGTTTGGTATCTCTATTCTGAAAAAGACTGTTCCCCTCCTCATCCTGCCTGTAACATGTTACTAGGCATTTCAAGCTCTCTTCCAGTCGATCCAAGTCTATTCTTCCATTCTCTCTTTAGAGTGAAAACAAGAAAAGAAATGTCTTGACTTTTAAATGAGTTAGGAACGTAAGTAAATGAAGCATGGCCTGACTGTCTCTTGTGTGAGCAGTCTTGTAAAGGCAAATGAAGCTAGTCCAGTCTAAAAGTATCATGGTCTGATGCTTCATTTTGACATTTCTTTATAGTTGCATATTACTTTACTACTTCAGCACTGGTTTAACAGTGACAAGGTAGGATCTAATTTTGTAATATTGTACAAAGTATGCAGTGCTTTATTCTCAGTCTAATTTTATTTTCTGACTACCTGAAGTTTGCTGTTTGTAAAAAATTATGGTTTAGAAAACAAAAAAAAAAAATTGATTCTGTGCCTCTGAAAAGAAAGATGCCAGATTTTTACTTAATAAACTTTCTCTTTATCCACTTAGTCATGTAGACATTGAGCATTGACTCCATTATGTGTGACTAATACTATTTTCACTTAGTAAAGTAGCAGTGACTCTCTAGCAAAACAGTGAGAAGTCATAAACACATACTAAAATAGCTGATTAGATCTATTAGGTTTTAGCAAAATTTTATTCACGTTGGGGAAATAAAAGGAGTTATTAATTTCAGTGAGTTTTGCATTAAAGTTTGCCTGAAAATAGTCCCAGTATGTCATCTACAAGGTTCTCACTTTGAATGAGCCTTACTTCTATCAATTTGAGGTCTTTCTCTGCTAGAAATGAAATTAATGAAGAATTCATAGAATCGTAGAATCCTGTAGGTTGGAAGAGACCTTTAAGATCATCAAGTCCAACCATTGAGCCAATAGGGCTCTAAAGTCCTCTGCTAAAACAGATCAGAATCTGTCAGGGCTGGAAGGGACCACAAGAGTCACCCAGTGCCAACCCCTCTGCCATGAGCAGGAACACCTCACACTAGATCAGGCTGCCCAGAGCCTCATCCAGCCTGGCCTTAAAGACACCCAGGGATGGGGCCTCAACCACCTCCCTGGGCAACCCAATTCCTATTGAAAGAGCTACAAAATCTTGTTTTCATAAAATAAGTGAAATTAAATCAAAATAGCTTTACTTTGATAGGAGAAATGACTTCAGAAATGTCATAGCCTGAGGGTTTTTCCCAGTGATTAAGAATTCCCTTCAATATAGAAGATGCTGAATGGCACTGTGTAAAACATTCGAGATTTAAAATTTTTGTAAATGACTTTAAGTTATATTTTAATTATAGGATATTTTCTTGAATCAAAGAATATTTTAACCTTGAAGTTAAAAAAAAGAACGATACTTTTCTTTATTATATACTTAGTACTGGATTTTGAGTATTTGACTTCCTCAGATGAAGATAGGTATGCTAAGAACCTTCACACCTTATTAATGTATTTCAATTAAAAAGCTTGCTGAAGTAAAATCAAATTCGAAAAAATACAACACACCACAAAACGAATATGACTTCATAAAAGCGAGCAGAAGAATAAATTGATTGCAGTTGACAAGATTTTTAATGCAAAGTTAACTTCACTATATTGTACTGAAATTAAATACATTAACTTTTAAAATTTCCTGACCTTTGTGAGCTTCATTTTTCTCTTTTAACATAGCATGGACATTTGATTTACATTTAATTAGTGGGAAGATTGAGTTAAATGACTGTAGGTTCTACTTCCAGACTTATTCACACTAAGAGATTTCTTTCTACTAAGAAAGGTTCATACCATTTTGCATGGGACAGGTTTGAATTACTTTATCATACTGCTTGATCATATTAAATCCTTTTTTTATCAAAGGGTAATATCTGAAATTGGTATGCATATTTTTTTCTATACTATTCTTATTGACTTAAATAATGGTTGCATAGCTAGAACCATACAGGGAAGTTGGAAAATAAATAAAGTATATGTCTTGCTATTCATACATTAAAATATGGGCTAGGTAAATAAAAACACAGGGAGGTGAGGGCATTCCAACAACCATGTTACCTGTGAGAAACATATCAATGCTTATAGCAGCATCCTTTCTGTATGAAAATCAGTGGAAGAATGTAAGGAGGATTTGATCCAAACTATATTCTGTTGCCTCACCAAGATCATCAGATGCCTCACTAATAATAGGATGTATAAGTTTACATTTAAAATCTTCTTTATTAAAACAACTTGAAGCAATTCTAGTGACCTGGAATTTGCACCTCTTCTGGCTAACATTTATTTCCAACATTAGTGAAACCAGTTGTCCTTCAGTTTGGTCAGAATTTTGTAAATGTGAGAAAAGTAAAAGCCTGAAAATTTTTATCAGGTCACAGCACACAGATGACAAACACATAGTCACTTACTGCCTTGATGCTTTCAAAGTGTCCACCTTCTTTTTCAAAGTCAATTGGCTGCCCATTGAGTGTCCAATAGAAAGTAACATCTAGTGTGCTGTCATGAAGAGCTTTGCAACTGAGGACAATGCTTTCTCCCACTGTTAACTCTATCTTCTTAGGAGTCAGCTCTATTCTTGTAGGTTCTTGAAATACAGAAGGAGTAGGAACATTTAGATGGAAGTCTAATTACAGTGCAAGACAATGTCTTTGAGTTCTGCTTGCTCTACTCAGAGCTTACATTTACTGTTTGTTTCAAATATGCAGTGTCAAGTACAGAAATATAGTATACACCAAGATGTAGCAATGGTGAACAAAAGGTACATCCAGTTTAATGGAAACAATAAGACAAGATTCTAAAAAACTATCTATAGGACAATAGGACTTCAGGGATGGATTAATGAATTAATTTTATTAGTCACAGAAAAAGATTTTTTTTTTTTTCCCCAAGGCTGCAGCACCTGGTATCTTGTGATTGCATGAAAACCTCAGTTTTGTCACTTAAAATAAAAAGGCATGTTTCCAGTCATGCTAAATATAGGAATAAGCTTGAAAAATTAAGTCAAAAGACTTAAGCACCTAAACCCAAAAACTATGATCATATAAGAATACAGACGAAAAGTGACAAAAGTATGGTTTTGAAATTAATTGCAATGTAATGATTTGATTATTATTACTGTTCTAAGGAACTATCTTTCCTTAGATTTCATATTGATATACCTATTACTTTAATCCTAAACTTTTCTCCTGTGCAGAAAGAGGTAGGGGTGAGTTCCCAAAGCAAAAATATGTCAAAAGGGATATTGATTCTTTTAGAATCAATCTTACAGAATTATCTGTAATCTGAGTGACTTAACGTGTATACTAATTCTTCTGACATACATCTGCAATATAACAGCTGGAATGTGCAATCTGATGCAGGAATATGATGTTTGACCAGATGGAGGTTAGCCTCCCTACCTTGTTGGAATTTTTTTTTTTTTTTTTATTCTGCCTGTACAACATTGTTGTACGGTTGGCTGGGGATTTCAAGCAATAATAAAATATTAGTAAAGAGAAGTCATCGTTATCTTCAAAGCATTTTTTTCATACCTTTAACAGATACTGATGCAATGATCTCTGCAGATCCAAATATATTTACACCCTGGCATAAGTACCGTCCTTCATCAGACTTGGAAGCATTCAGGATTTGCAGGCTCCCATGTGGAAGAATAGTTACTCTGAAAAGGACAAATGTAAATATATAAATAAATCTCCTTGCCTAGCAGTTAAATTCCATGATGATATCTTTTAGCACTAATAAATAGGATTAAGGACTGTTGCCTTTGTAGCAAGGGATGATGAAGATATTAACTGAATACTCTTCTGTTTCACAAAGGTTGTAATAAAACCATTTAACTCCTTCTCTTTCCTTAATTCAAAAAGTTTCAGGGAGGCATCAGTGGATTAGTATCCCTTGACACTTATCAGTGGTGAATTTTAATGAGTCTTTTGCAAAAAAAGTGGAAAAGGTGATTCTTCATAATTTGCCTTTAAAGTTTCACTGCTATATTACTGTCAAATCACATTTCAATATCAAGCACAGCCTATTACATTTAGAAAAAAAATGACCTTAAAAATAAAATCTAAGAATGGGAAATAAAATCTAAAAGAGGATTCAAAAAAACACATAAAATTAATTGTTTCTGGCCAAAAAGTGTTTTATGACATTATTATATAGTGTGGCATAGGAACTTAAATAATCTCTGCTTTTTTGTAGCTCAGTTTTATTTTTTTCTTTGACTCTTGTATGATTGCAGCTCCACTGCATCTCTAGGTGAGTAGCCTCACTGAAGCATACTCACGAGAAATGTTGTTCAACCACTTATCTTTAGGAGTTTCACATTTTTACTTTGCTTACACGGTATTAATCATAAAGTCCATGAAGCTACATAGAGGTGAAAATTAATACATTTTTTGCTATTCTAAGATGACAAAGCCCCTGAATTTATTGTCTGTTCAAGCTGCAGCCCTGGAAGAGCAGTAAATAATCATTATTCCTCCCCTGATAGAGAAGAACTACAAGCCTAAAAGGAACACAACAACTCTTACATGGCATTTAAGCCAAGCCCTGTTTGCAGATGTTGTATATGCTTTCCCAGGTTGGGTGGTGATTATGGGCCTCTCAAAGGACATGAAAGATGTAGGCTGGAAGCCCTCTGGCAGACATGGACACTGAAAACAAATAATACTCAGCAAATGTTTTCAGCTATAACATAGAAATGGAGGAGGAGATGAAGCAGTGCTTCCTTCTCTTGTATTTTGAAAGTAAGGTAAGACCTCTTTCTGTGTTACAGAAAGAGTCTAATTAAGTGGGTGAGTGGCATTTCCCCAGAGATGGTAGGAGTTTTTATATATACCTCTCTAAAGATGGCTTTCTATCTGTTATTGTAGTGACTAGCACTCTTTCTGCTGGCAGTCGCCTATTGAGCCTATTTACCAAAGGCTTAAGATTCAATAATGTTATCAAACTAAATCAGTAAGATGAGACTGTTTATCCTTTTTTTTTTTTCCTCACCCCCTGGGAAAAGAATTATACCCCCTATTCTTTGGCTCTCTTTGTGAAAAATGGTGGTTTATTATCTGAGGTTTATAAACATTGTGGTGGGGAAAACAATTTTATTCCAGTGAAAAATGTACTTCTATTCACTTCAGATTTTAAACTGCTCACTGCTCTAAGTGGAGAGACAGAAGAAAATAATAGCTTTAACAGTGAATGGGGCAGAGGAAGGACATGTCAGCTATCAAACTCCCTAGTGCAATCTGATGATGTATCTCTCATCTTGCTCTAAACGAAAATGCATCAGTATTCGAGTCACATTATTTGTCTAAATGTAATTTTATAGAAAATACATTTATATTAAGCAAATGCCTCTGTATCAGTGTTTTGAGGTTTCTCACGTGTTTTTTCAACAAATAAGAAGGCCTGAAATTTTGTTGCAATTTGAAGAAACAGTCTGCTTTAGGAACTGACAGGAATGTAAGCTTCCTTCCTTTCTTCTTGGTGTAAGCTTTGTTTTCCACTCAAGATGCTCTGTGATCAATGCTCTGAGGACATTGTATCATTAGTATGACAATAGCCTTTGCAGAACAGTAATAGTTTTCATCAATATACTGTCAGCCTCAGACAAATGAAAGGACACTCCTACAGTGTTTACAAATTATAAAAGCTTACACACAGCGTAAGTCCTGATATAAAACTGTTTTTCATTCTGAGCTTGGAGGAAAAGAAAGTTAGATGCATGTGGCAGATTATCTAATGAATCTTATACATATTATCAGCTACATTCCTATTTAGCTAAAAGCTCTTGCTATCCAGGAGGAGAAGAGTAATCGCTCAGTCAAAGGAATTGCAAACACATTTGCTGGTGAATTATTCGGCTCAGAAATTAATACTTTCCTTAAAATGCTTAATATTCATCTGCTCTCCCTTTTTATGTGTTTGGGAAAAAAGCCAGAGGCTGGTTATGATGGAAACTGAAATGCTGTATTTATTCACGTAACACTTGCAGCACACCACAGGAACATAGACTTCTTCCCTGCTAGTATCATTCAGTCACAGAGAGACCACCTGCATAGTGTGTCTACATATTTTAATAAGAAAATACCATAGCAAAAGATTTTTTACCTTCTTAAATAAAAGGGAAGCAAAGAGAGAAAAAATTGGGTTGGGTAGAGTTAAGAATAAGTCAGAAAACCCCCTTAAATCATCTAATTATTAGAATCTGAGGGAACAATGATGGTAAATTAACTGATAGAGAAAGGACTGACAACAGATAAAAGTAATAATTTGAAGATTATTGCATTTAAGTATAAGAAAATCTCACTGTAATCCCATAAAGGAGATAGATGATGTCCATCCAAGGACTCTGAAAAAAATGGCACGAACTTAGTGTCTCTGTAGAAAAGAGTTTTCATCTGTCTGATATGAAGGGGAAAAAGAGATGAGTGTTAATGTCCTGGAGTCAATAAACATGTTGGCTAAAGACTGATAATAACAAAGATTTCAGCATTTTAGCAGGAATTACTAAGAAAGAATAACGAATATATGACAGCAAATAGACATGAGATAAAATTCAACATCATTTAGCTGAAGTACAATAAATTGTTATAATAGTTAATAAGAAGAAGCGTTCTCCAGAGAAAATAAATGGAGATTCGATCTTTTTTTTTTTTTGTAGACAAATTATTCTATTGTACTATTACCGTATTATTATTTTTTTTTTTTTAATGACCAGGATACAAAAAGGAGGATATTAGAAATTTGCTGAAATAAACAGTTCATTGATACAGAAAGTCAGCGTATCAACCAGGAGGGCTTTGATGACACTGAGCACCAGACTCAGAAAAGTACTAAATGTAGCTCTGAACTAACTGTACTATGCAGCACAGGCAAATGCAACCCTAGAATTTATCAGATACCAATCTTCAGTTCATTGTGGAAGGTTTAATACATAAGGTGCTGAGGAAACATAATATTTAATATAGGACAATTTTGATTGTCAGTGTTCAGAAAGATTAATTTTATTCAAGCTGGCACTCATGTGGATCATCAGGATGACCAGGGAGGAAAGAAAACCTTTTTTCTAGAGATCTTTGTAAAATGTAAACCTAAGGTGTGTGCATGTGAGATCAGTTTCTATTTTATGTGTTAATTCATGGATCTGTCAGTAGTAAGTGGAACCTCTACTAACAGTAAAAATGTTTAAATATCTAATTCACATTGTAGATATTTATACTCAGATATCTCAACCTGGAACTGAATCTCACCCTCAGATCTTGATTTAGTACCCCAGACACAGGCCTGTTATAACCTGACATCATATGAGGGACAAAATCCCAGTTGCCGTTTCCAATATTTCCAAGTAATTATTTTAATTTTAAAAACATTTTCATTCTATTCAAAGCTATTTTTCATCATTAACACATCAAGCTTCATGTGATTTAGAAAAGAGAACTGAGTAGAATATAATATTTATAAACTGTTAGTATAGGAAGTTTTGCAAGATTTTAAAGAACTATCCTTTATTTTACAGTATTCTGGTTAAAAAGTAGGAAACCTTTTCCTTTTATGTGGTTTTATGCACAGAAACTTGTGAATACCTCTAAACTTTGGTCTTATTTTGGGAAGGATAAAGAAGTAGGAAATACAGTCATTGTTTTGGTTTAAAAAAGGGAGGTCTATTCTGCCTGCCATATTGTTATGATTGTTTTCCCTTTGATTAATTCATAAGGATAAATGAAATGCAGTGGTAGTCTGGATACTTTTATTGCTCCACCTCTTACAGATAAAATATTAATTCTCTGATATCTGGTACCACCCAGCATAGAAGTTCTCAGATATTATCTATAGCCAGCAAAGGACATACTGGTTTAGATGATAGAAATTCTCTTTATCACCAGCAACAGTTTTACCTTGACCCACGAGGGTCAGGATGTGCATTTGTTGCTCCTATCACATATAAAATCAGTGAGCAGAGACTTCCATCAAGATTCAGATAATGAGAAGGGGAAACTCTAATTTTCATTCTGTGTCATCATTCATAGTAGGTTCTCACAAACAGATGTCTTGATAGTGTGTCTAGAAATTGCTTAAAAATTCTGCAATGGACCCTGCAGTCTAGATGCTGAAGGAGCTGAGCAGTTGAGGCAGCAAAAGTTACTGTTACTACACAACCTTCAGGATTTTTCTGAGGACTTGTAGCAAAGACAGAGACACAGTGTCTGGATCTGAATAGAAATGACTGCCAGACAGCTTGTGCTTGGAAGTTTATGTTCTTTAAATAACAATTACAGAGTAAGAAAAAATAGAATTCAATTACGTGGCCATTTTTGGTGGGGAGGAAGGGTAGCAGTATTTTTACCTTTGCCTGTTTTCAGATTTTTTGTGTGTTTGTTATATTTTGATTTTATCTTTCCTATGAAAGTCAATTTTTATAGGACTTTAGAGCAATAACCACAGCAATCAGGGAAGCATTATATTTAGAAGTGTCGCAAATTTTAACACCTAGGAACTGGCTAAGAGAAAAGTCTAAGTTATAAAAGCTAGAAATTTCCCTCCTGCATTTCTCATTGGCATCTGAAACCAGGAGTATTAAATTGTTTTGTGTTCATGTTGGAAACAAGAACTTTAGAGATGCAAATGGAGCAAAGCTGCACTGACTCATTTAGCCCGTGGCCC